TATATATATATATATATATAAACTGTTTGTTAAACATCACCTGGGAAGTATTTGAAAAATAATAAAAAATTTAATTAAAAAAAATCACTGGAGGGCTAAAAATTCTTTACCTGTATACTCAAAATTGAAAAGGAAAAGATGAGATTTAAACTCAGAATTCAGAGCAACAACAAAGGCAGAATCCTTAGATTTATATTTCCAGTTCCAAGGATTACTAGCGTAAATTGTAAGAAACAAAAGTTAGAGATTTAAACTGACAATTCAGGTTTTTACAAATTTATGCCAATCAAATTCATCCCTCATTTTAAAAGCTTATTCATGCTATTAGTATAGCCAAAAATACTTCAAGTAAATTGCATACTTTGTATATACAGTTGAAGCCAAAATGTTTCACCCTCCTGTGAATTTCTTTCTTTTAAAAATATTTCCCAAATCAAGTTTAACAGAGCAAGGAATTTGACACAGTATGTCTGATGATATATTTTCTTCGAAAGGAAGTGATTTATTTCGGCTAGAATAATTAGGTCAAAATTATTAGCCCCTTTAAGCAATATTTATTTCACTGTTTGTCTACAGAACAAACCGCTGTTATACAATAACTTGACTAAGTTAGAACCTAGTTAAGCCTAGTTAAGCTGAATACTATCTTGAAAAATATCTAGTAAAATAGTATTAACTGTTATCATGGCAAAGATAAAATAAATCAGTTATTAGAAATGAGTTATTAAAATGATTATGTTTAGAAATGTTTTGAAAAAAATCTTCTCTCTGTTAAACAAATAAGGGGAAAAAATAAACAGGGGAGCTAATAATTCTGACTTCAACTGTATAAAGAGTATGGCTGCGTCCGAAACCGCATACTTCCATACTATATAGTACGCTAAAATCAGTATGCGAGCCGAGTAGTATGTCCGAATTCATAGAATTCGAAAATCAGTAGGCGAGAAGTTCCCGGATGACTTACTACTTCCGGCGAGATTCTGAAGTGCGCATCCCATGCACGCTGCACTATCCCATAATGCCCCGTGAGAAAATTCATGAATGGAAGTGAGGCGACGCAACTGACGCAGGTAGGTCACGTGACCATGATAAAATGGCGGATGTAGTACGTCCGAATTCCATTCATACTTTTCACATTCATACTGTATAGAACATACTTTTCTGACGGCCGAGTAGTACGTTTAAATTCAAATGCAGTACCTACTGAGTAGTAGGCGGTTTCGGACGCAGCCAATGATATTTTTGTTGTTTTTGTTCAGTTCACCCGAATATCTGCAATAACACTAGTGTCTGCTTTGTCTCTGCAGTGCCGACCAGGCTCTGGACAGGTTTGCCATGAAGAGGTTTTATGAAGATAAAGTGCTTCCTGTGGGTCAGCCTTCCCAGAGAAGGTCAGTGCTGCTTTGTTTTCCTCATCTGACCTCTTATCTTTCTGCTTTATGAGTTTGACCCTCATTGTAAGTGTTGGGTTTCAGCCATTGTTCACATTTATGAGCTTCGCTCAATGATAACTGCAGCACAAACATGCAAACCAATGCTTCGTCTAGTTCTGATAGGTGGAGTTATGTGTTGTTTACCTGAATGTGCCCTACAGCAGTGTGCTGGGGACTTCAGATTAATTATACTTTGCATGATGTTGCACGATTAGCTTTATGAGCACCTCACCACATGCCTCAGAGCTGGCACTGTCTTATATGCAAATGATGCAATTTATAAACTCAGAAATGCTATATTTATAGGGCGTCAAGGTGGCGAAGTGGGTAGCACGGTCGCCTCACAGCAAGAAGGTCGCTGAATCGAGCCTCGGCTTGGTCAGTTGGCATTTCTGTGTGGAGTTTGCATGTTCTCCCCGTGTAGGCGTGGTATCCTCTGGGTGCTCCGGTATCCCCCACAAGTCAAAAGACATGTTATAGGTTAATTGGGTAAGCTAAATTGTTTATTTTAAACTAAATAAAATACAAATAAACAGATTGTTTTGGAGATTTTTGGACCTCACCATATAGTACAGTATAGTTACCAACCCTTTGTAACTATACTATATACATTCTCTTTGTGCTTGAGTATCCACCTCTGCACACTCATTTATGCCTCATAAGGGAACACTTGGCCACGGATGTGCTGCTTTTACAGAATCGGGCATTCCATCTGTATATGGAAGCACTGGCACTTCAGGCTTCATTAAAACTAGATTTCATTGGGCACATAGTTGTGCTCCCTTCATGGAAAATGGAAAGGCAGAGTCATGGTGAGAGCTTGATTCCAAGAGGAAAGAAGAAGTGTACTGTATGACTTCCAGTGGTGGACAGTATTTTTCACTTCACTGTGTAATTTAAAGGGCTCCTATGCTGAAAAACGGACAGATGTTTGGAAAGATCTGTGTGTAGGTATAGTGTGTCCACCGTCATACTGGAGTGATAAAAACACAAGTCTCTTTTTAACAATTTCCTGACGTTAAAATAGGAACCCAATCCTAGTGTTTTTGAGGCCAACCACAATGTGATGTAGGATTGTGGTTTTCCCCCACCCACCAATGTGATTGACAGATATTACCATGTCTTTTTAGTATAGCATATAATAATGTCCATAAAACAGGATTTGCAAAGAAACTGGGATTTAAAGATCTGATCCAACTCTCTGTGATTAGCTGCATCATAGCAATGAGTTTTACACGTTTAAAAGGTTATTAAAAGTATTTGTAATAAAGAAAAAGTGGTAAAATTGCTATGCAAATATAAACTATAAACAGGGGGATGCTTCAATCATAAACCAGGAGTCATGGTTTGTTTACATTAAATCAGGTTTATTTTGTACAGTAGTAGTTGTAATGGAAATTCACACAGCAGTGTATATTTTATGCTTTTTATATAATGTTTTCCCAGTACTGGGTTGCGGCTGGATGGGCATCCGCTGTGTAAAACATGCCGGAACTGTTGGCAGTTCATTCCGGATTTGCAGTGATAAACAGTTTGGCTGTTTGCACCAAACATAAATGTAAAGACAGTCGTTCAGAAGACCAGAATAGTGCACTTACTGCACTCCAGCAAAATAGTAAGGTTTATAATCTAATTAATACATATTAAACGTCTTTAACATTATTAAATTTAGATGCTGAATCACTAATACTGTATGTGTTGGTTTGCACTGAGTCACAGATCTAAAGTTTAATTTTAAATGGTTTATTTTATTTTCAAGATCTGAGGTGAACTATCTGCTGCTGCTTTCAGTAGTATGGCAATTAATGTCATGTAAAATGGCATTCAAACTCACATCATCCGCATTTAACACTGAATAAAGCACATGAGGTGTACCTGAATGGAGCATTGTCATTGATTTCTGTTGCTCAGCTTTAAGAAATAGAAGCTGTTTCCAAAAATATTAATTACAGGTATTGGTTATGACAAAAACTTGTTTTAAAATGGAAAATATTCCTTTTAGTATGTGCCTTTGCTTTCATTTAGAACACAGTTTGAATCAGCCCTTGTTGATGTCGTCAATCTGGCGCTCTTGTGTGTTTTAAACCAGGGGTGCAATACCTAGTTTAGCCATTGGGTGTACAACTTACATACTGCACCTTTAAGAGTTTCAAACTAGGGCTATCAAGGTTTTTTTTTTGCTTATGATTATCGAAGAAGCACCAGTATGTCACAAAACCATGTGTTGGACTCAAAAGAGGGATTGTGACTGCTTTAATTCACCTAAAATATTAACAAAAACTAATTTTAAATTGCATTTTTTTTTCTTAAATCAGATTTATTTTGGACAGTAGTAGTAGTAGTAGTAGTAATGGTTATTCATACAGCAAATGTATATTATGCTGTGGGCTTTTTTTATACTGTTTTCCCTGTACTGGGTTGCGGCTGGAAGGGCATCAGCTGTACATCTACAATCGCTAGAATAGTGGCAGTTCATTTCATTGTGGTAACACCTGATAATCAGGGACTATGCTGAGGGTAAATGAATGAATGAAAATACTGTTTTTATAGTACTTTTGATCACTTCAAAGTGGTAAACAAATGGTTATCAGACAAAAACATTAACATTTTGTAGTGGCCCAGCCAGAGTCCTGACTTAAATTGAATTGAAAATCTGATCAATTGGCAAAAATACTAGTGAAGACATGCAAAAAGGCTGGACAACAATTATAGAAAGTGTTTGAATGCTGTTTTAGCCAATAAATTTTGCCAATTTTCATTGATTATTAAGAGGGTTATGAATAATTTTGCCACTTTTTGTTTAAATGTAAATAAAAAATATATATAATTTCCCACAATGATGCCTCTTGTACATCTTTCTATTATCTTTTTGTAGAAGCCTGTGCCATTTCAATAATAAATACAATAAACAATAAAATATTCATTTAAAACATTAAATATTTCTAAAATTAAATCAATTTTATACATTTAATTATATTTTTGACATGTCTCGGGCTTGTACACATTCTCTCATAAAATAGGATTCTTCTAAAATAAGATTTTAAAATAAATATGTGTGTTTTTGCTATTGTGCGTGAGCCTCCGTCTAAAGACAATTTTCTAACCCCTGTGGAATAGACAATACAGTTTATTGAATTAAATAGAATATCTCAGTGCTGTCTTTTATTAATAATTTTGCCCTCCAATTAGTCTTTATTATTACACTGAAAAAAAATATTCAGAGATAATTGCTTAGATTTACTTAATTTTTTTTACGTTAAGGGGTTGTAAACAATTTATTTGGGCTGAATTTAAACAAACAAATTAAGTTGAATTTTATTAAATTTAATTTGTTTGTTTAAATTCCACCCAAATTAATTGTTTGCAACAGTTTTGCAGACATTTTTTTTCAGTGTACATTATTTTTGACAATCTTTTCTTTTTGCTCCAGATATGTGCAGTACTTCAGCGGTCTGCTCTCCGGCCACATTAAGATCAACAACAAACCCCTGTTTCTCCATCACGTCATCATGCACGGCATCCCAAACTTCGAGTCTAAAGGAGGTGAGCTCAAGTGTTGATGTGTCAGCGGCTGTCGAGGTGTTGATAGCAGGTTTAGTGCTCTGTCTGAACTCCTGCTGCTGCTGCTGATGCCTTTCTGTCAGATTCACAACACACACACACTGAATACAGGTGTAGACAGTTCCATAATCTATTCTGATCCCATCCTTCAAAGCTCAAAAACCCCTTTATTTGGTGTATTGTAATTAGATCGTTCTTTTTTTAACACATATGAACAGTCTCGAACTAGGGCTAACAAGGTTTTTGTGTTTATGACTACCAAAAGAAGCACCAGTATTACACATACTATGTATTGGACTCCAAAGAGTGATTGTGGCCGCTTCAATTCACTAAAAGAATAACAAAAAACAAACTAATTCCAATTCAAAATTGCATTTTTGTTCTTCTGTAAAACGACATTATACGGTATATTGTCATGTTCTGTTTTTGTTTACTCAATATACAGTTAAGCATACAATTATTAGCCCTCCTTTAAAATTTTTGCAAGGAAACTTTACACAGTATTGAAAAATCTAAACAAATATGTAATAAATAAATAAATGAAGAGTTTGGATGCAAAAACCTCTAAATGTCGTTTGAAAAGTTCCTCTAAAATCAGGCTCCTGTGTGTATGTTCTGCAATATCACTTTTGTTGCAAAGAAAAAGTCCTTTTTCTGATCTTTAAATTAAAATATCTCAACAGGCTTGGAAAATTTTCGATGGAAATTTTAGACAGTTCTTAGAGGTTTGAACTCTTTATATAACTCTTTATACCATCATTTCACAATAACTTGCCTAATTACCCTAACCTGCCCAGTTAACCTAATTAATAA